CCCTTTATCAATTTGTTTTGGGGCAAAATAACTGGTATACAAATATCTTAACAATGTATATACTCCATGATCTCATGGATTATTTCCCAGTAATTAATAACTGGTATACAAATATCTTAACAATGTATATACTCCATGATCTCATGGAGAAGTTTCAATATAGAAAATCCAGATTTCAAACTAGAAAATAGAGAGTTTAATACAACACTATCAACTTTACAACATTTTGGCTGAAAAAGATCAGATTTTATTCACAACAGTCTCATAAACTAGCAGTAAAACAATTTATGATTAATAAGAAGCAGGAATATCAAAAATAAAACATCATGATTAAATCATGATCTATTATCTATAAACAATCACTTAGTCACTTGTCTGGTTTGTACATATAATATCATTAATTACATCTTGCAGACCATAATGTAGGGGTAGTATTTAAACATACCCTGAGGCAGAGAGCAAGACACACAGTAGTGTGTCATGTGGCCAAAATAACCTGCAGGACATACTGAGTGTTAATAACAGGAGTGATAGTTTAGAAATTTTTCTGTAGTTCGGACTGTGGTAATCCAAACCATCACATATTTTCAGTGGATGTGCTCTACTTGACCCTTACTTGACATACCAAAATTTAAGGCAGTCGATTAAGAAATACATGAAATATGAAATCTCTAATTCTGATTTAATTTTTTCTATTTCATTGCACTGAAAGTACGAAAACTTTAATCAATAGTAAAACATACTTAACTTTCATGGATTTTTTTCAAATTTGGTATAAAGATAGACCTTTACAACCTAAAATTAGGTGTCAAATTTGGTATAAAGATAGACCTTTACAACCTACACTTAAGTGTCAAATTTGGTATAAAGATAGACCTTTACAACCTACAATTAGGTGTCAAATTTGGTATAAAGATAGACCTTTACAACCTACAATTAGGTGTCAAATTTGGTATAAAGATAGACCTTTACAACCTACAATTAAGTGTCAAATTTGGTATAAAGATAGACCTTTACAACCTACACTTAAGTGTCAAATTTGGTATAAAGATAGACCTTTACAACCTACAATTAGGTGTCAAATTTGGTATAAAGATAGACCTTTACAACGTACAATTAGGTGTCAAATTTGGTATAAAGATAGACCTTTACAACCTACAATTAGTTGTCAAATTTGGTCTAAGTATAAGCCACATGCAAAGTTATTCAATAAAAACCACTCAATTTTGACCAAAATTTTTGCACATGCCTATGCAAAACGTCACACAAGTTATCAGTCTGAAATTTTTACTACAGTTTCACCTAGGAGTAAAAGTGGACCGTATTTAGTTTTTGACATTCGGATTAAAGACGACTGAGTTAGACCGGCAAAACTATACGGTGAAAGCATATGCAGATATACAAGTATTGGTTAGGCCAAGTAACTAGTTTAGCAGTTATTATTCACTGCCAACTTTAAGCACAAATTTGCTAAATTTTATGAAATTCTCCTAATTAAAGAGCATTTAGCATCACATGATATTAGCTTAAGCTTGATATGGCTGTACCAAGTGCTTGCAGGTGATCACAAGAAACTGTTAATCTAGATTCCATGGTGTTACTATAAAGGAGATTAATAACACTGTTTTGGAGAGGAAAACTACCACCATATATTTTAAAGAATCTGGTTGGTCCTGTAAAGTATATATCTGTTCAGAATAACAGGGTTGGGATCCTAAAGCTAATGTTGGTTACTATCAAGTGTCACTTTATTATTTGCTGTGGTTTGTTGGAGTGTATTGACAAAAAGTCATGATATTTAACCAAAAACACCTTAGGTGTGAGAAAAGGTGCATTCAAAAAAGATTGAGCATGCAAATTGGCAGACAAACTGATAGCTACACTTATAATGTTGATAAGAATTTTGCAGCAAATTTTCATTCATTAGTTAGCTAGGACCCATATTTTGTTTTACTCATCATCATGCCCCAAGTTAAACAAAAAACATGGCTTGACTAATTTGCAGAGACCTTGATGCAGAGATAGTATTAAACAGGTCTTTATGCATGCAAAGTTAATATTAAACAGATCCTGATGCATGCAGAGTTAGTATTAAACAGGTCCTGATGTAGAGGTAGTATTAAACAGGTCCTGATGTAGAGGTAGTATTAAACAGGTCCTGATGTAGAGATAGTATTAAACAGGTCCTGATGAAGAGATAGTATTAAACAGATCCTGGTGCATGCAAAGGTAATATTAAACAAACACTGATGCAGAGGTAGTATTAAACAGGTCATTGTTATTACTTTCACAGTTCATATCTTTGTTTATTCAGTCAGCTTATTTTTTACTTCATGTCAGGAAATTACTAAAGCTAAAGTGATGTATATATGTATGTATGTATGTGTGTGTGTGTGTGTGTGTGTGTATGTGTGTGTGTGTGTGTGTGTAATATAACACAGAATATAATGGTCACTTATCCTAAAAATAATGTAACAATGTCATTATGATTTATAAAGGACAGCATGTTACAAAATTTCAAAAACTTTTTTGTAAAAATTTGTGACTGTACAGAAAGTTACTTTATCTAAAATACAACGTGTTGTTTGTTACAATGAAATAAAAATAGTTTCTTGATAAAACACTATTATAAAATGATTTAATTCCTCCTTTTTTTTTAGTGAAAAAACATGCAATTATGTTAAATCTCAGCTGTGGTTTCATGTGCTGAATAAAACAGGTAATGAATAAACATTAACTGCAGGAATTTCAATACTCAGATTATTCTGAGGTGAGAACATTTTAAGAATTTTTATTCTTACTTAGGAAAAAAATTGCATAACAAGAAATTATAGCTTTGAACCTGTTATCCACTGATAGTGTACTAATGATTTTAATCAAGTGGTCCACTATATTTTTTTTTTCTCCCCAGCTCAGTAACAAAGACCTGGTACATTTAAATTTTGATTAGAATATAAGACACATTTACAAATATTAAACTGTGCAAGTCAAGCGATCATAGTTTCTTCCAATAAAATTTTTAAATGATTTCTTTTAAAGTTGGACAGGATGTAATTACCATCATTATAACCAGGGTTTAAGTTACAGTTTGTTCAAACTTTGAGTATTTTGTTTAAAACTTCGACAACAGTTTCATATTATGTGCTTTTGATCCACGTAGGTTCTGAAACAAGTTTAAAATTCCATGCAAATTACTTCCCAAAAATGTACTTACTTAAGTGCTCATAAATTTAAAAGACAGTATTTATTTTATGAGTATTAGGAAGATTTGTTTGTTTGTTTTTTGAATTTCGTGCAAACCTACACAAGAGCTATCTGCGCTAGCCGTCCCTAATTTAGCAGTGAAAGACTAGAGGGAAGGCAGCTAGCTAGTCACCACCAGCTCTTGGGCTACTCTTTTATCAACGAATAGTGGGATCGACCGTCACATTATAATGCCCCCACGGCTGAAAGGGCGAGCACGTTTGGTGTGACGGGGATTCGAACCCGTGACCCTCAGATTGCCATTGAGCGCCCTAACCACCTGGCCATGCCAGGCTCTTATTAAGAAGAATAAATATTATTTGTTTTAATAGGGGCTATTGTTGTATAAAGTCCTAACTTGCATCATGTTTCTATTTTAATCAAACCTATAATACACCTTAAAATTTTTTAACTATAATAAAATTTTAAGCTAAGTTAGAAGCTGGTTAATACTTACTCAGGCATATATTAATGTACTCTGTTATAACAGGGACCACGTGTTCCATCTGTATCTTCAAACCTTGGTCCCTGTAAAACGGTGAAAACCTCCACAGAGTGTAGTGATCAAGTCTCACCGGGTTAATCTTTGAGTGAGTCAGACTGGACGTTGCCAAGTCTGCTAATCCAGCAAGAAGGGATGTCCACTGACTCAGACCAATACATCTTGGGAGCAAAGCTGTAACATCATGCAAATATTCACAGATCAATACATCTTGGGAGCAAACCTGTAACATCATGGTAATATTCACAGATCAATATATCTTGGGAGCAAAGCTGTAACACCATGCAAATATTCACAGATCAATACATCTTGGGAGCAAAGCTGTAACATCATGCTAATATTCTCAGATCAATACATCTTGGAAGCAAAGCTGTAACATCATGCTAATATTCACAGATCAATACATCTTGGGAACAAAGGTGTAACATCATGCGAATATTCACAGATCAATACATCTTGGGAGCAAAGCTGTAACATCATGCAAATATTCATAGATCAATATATCTTGGGAGCAAAGTTGTAACATCATGCAAATATTCACAGACCAATACATCTTGGGAGCAAAGCTGTAACACCATGCAAATATTCACAGATCAATATATCTTGGGAGCAAAGCTGTAACATCATGCTAATATTCTCAGATCAATACATCTTAGGAGAAAAGCTGTAACATCATGCTAATATTCACAGACCAATACATCTTGGGAGCAAAGCTGTAACATCATGCTAATATTCAAGTTCCAAAAAACAAACTGTAGATGAAAGGAACCTTCAAGTTATTTAACTTAATGTCACATGAAATTTTCAGATTTTACAAATTGTTACAAACGCACTAAATTTTGTACAAAAATTAATAGAATGATTACTGAAGCTACAAATACGAGTTTCTGATAACTACAGTTTCTAGGATCATATGTAGAATAAAATTTGATATATATCTATATATATAAAATATATTTAATTTTAAGTTGAGTGGATTTTATAAATTCCACAGCATTTACAACTACATTCTTGTATCATTAGCAAAACAGGAATAAATTACAAAAAATTTTCAATCATCATAGCCAGGTCTTATAGAATTTGTCTAAAATGTAGTCAAAATTCTGAAATTGTGTTTTTCAGCAAAAATATACAGTGAAGCAAATCAACGTTAACATACTGTCAATCCCTGTATATTTTTGTTTCACAAAAACTGATGTCAGAACAAAATTTTAGTTTAATGTGGTCACAGAATTAAACACAAAATTAAAAAAAATTATCAATTCAAGTTTTCTTTGAGTGTAATGAATATAGTAATTTAGTGCACGAACATCGAACATAATAATGAAATTTTTTTTAGTTTAATCACATTTTTATAAACTTCTGAGAAGTTATTCATTTATTCAGCATTTATTTTCTCAGTTTCAGTAATTATTGAAAATATTTATACACTAACCTGGTGTACAGAAGGAGACTGTGTGCATCATTAAATCATGGAGACTGTGGAAAAGATAAGCAGACTGTTCAGTGGTTTGATCAAAATCGTTAAGATTTTCGCAGAAGTGTTCACAGACAGATAACAGGATCTCAGCACTTGTGGCACTTGGATATACAGCTACAAGTTCCCTGTGAGAATAAAACCAAGAGAAATTAACGTTTTAAAAACTTTTTAAATATTGACATTTTGAGAATGAAAAATATGTTATCTTTCAGCTTCATTGTAACAACCTCTAAAACAAAACAAAGAAATTACCGTACAATCAAACTTACCTACAAAAAGTGACGGCAAGTTCAAAATTTCCCTTTTTAGCCATCTTCTGTGCAAACAATCCCATAACCAACTCCCTCCTGAAGCCAAGAATTTCTCCTAGTCTAATTAAAAAATGTAAAGTACACCAGTTAATGTAAGTAAAGGATCTTCTGAAGTACAGGGTGATTCACCAAGATATACCCCAATGGGAAAAATATAATACACTATCATAATTGATAATGTTAAAATCCAGGCATTCTGACATCATTGCAAGCCAAAATGGTCTCTTTCAGAGTCGTAGGTTTCTCTCATTAGTGTATCATAGTCTACCCATAAGACATCAGTGGGATATCTCTCAGTGAATCACCTGCTACTTCCCATTTCTCCTTACTTGTGAATATAATTCAAAGGTTTATATAGATGTAACAATTTTTTAAATTTAAAATATATTACACTCACATTAAAAACAAGCTATAACAAAACTTATCTCACTAAACAGTTACCTTTCTTGGATGTTTGGTCACTATATATTCTCTTTTTTTACATATTATAACAATAGGCTACTGCCTTTAACAGCTCTGTCTTATCAGCTGTTAGATTGAATGGCAACTGACAAAACTTATTAAATAACTCAATAATCTGACAATACTCAAAGAACAAGCTTAACTATCTAAAGTTACCAGTTTTCTACACAATTTAAAACAGTTATTTCTATGGAACTGAGAACTTGCATCAAGTTTTTAAATAAAAGAATGTTTTTTACCTATAAAAATGACTATATGACGTGTTGACTTTCTGTTTCTTCTTTTCTCCAATCACAGGTGTCTGATAATGGAATACAACACAGAAGTAATCAGTTTTACAATACTTTGCAATGATTAAACCAAACAGTATTAGGACATTTAATACTACTAGTGATTTATGACTTAAATATGGTACTTTAAAATAACTAGGCTTCCATAATATACAGGGATATGACATTAATAAATACAAATACTAACAGTGGCCTTTCCTATTTGGGTGATCTAGGAAATCCTAACTTAGAGTGAGTTATAAATTGTGAACAGTGGTATAACATATCAAAGTGACCCACAAAATAAACTTTAACAGTGGTCTAACATACCAAAGTGACCTATAAAGTGCCACCAGTGGTCTGACTCATCAAAGTGACCTATAAGGTTCCACCACTGGTGTGGTGACCCACAAAATAAACTTTAACAGTGGTCTAACATACCAAAGTGACCTATAAAGTGCCACCAGTGGTCTGACTCATCAAAGTGACCTATAAGGTTCCACCACTGGTGTGACTCAAAGTGACTTATAAAGTGCCACCAGTGGTCTGACTCATCAAAGTGACCTATAAGGTTCCACCACTGGTGTGACTCAAAGTGACTTATAAAGTACCACCAGTGGTCTGACTCATCAAAGTGACCTATAAGGTTCCACCACTGGTGTGACTCAAAGTGACTTATAAAGTGCCACCAGTGGTCTGACTCATCCAAGTGACTTATAAAGTGCCACCAGTGGTCTGACTCATCAAAGTGACCTATAAGGTTCCACCACTGGTGTGACTCAAAGTGACCTATAAAGTGCTAATAAATATCTGATTTATTAAAACAAACTAAAATACTAACTGTGAGTCAGATTTTACTACTTATAAAAACAATAAGTTTCAATGTGTAGTAACATCACACTTTATGAGTAAGGAATGAAATATCTGGAATAAAGTTCAGCTGAATTTTTCATGACTTATTAACACAGTTTAATGTTAATTTTCAACAAAGATTCTACATACAGTTAAAAATGTTAATTTTCATACATAGTTAAAGTTATTGATAAGTACCTTACTAGTGAGTTAACTTTTTTGCTCAATTAGTAGAATACCCACTGTTGCGGAAAATATTTGGGTTCAAATACAGTATAAGAGAAGTTACATAAAAAAGCAAAGTTGGCACAGATACCGAGATAAGAAGGGTATTGGAAGGGTATTGCTTGTTAAAGGGGAAAAATGTGATAGTTTGTGTTGTGCCTGACTAGCAATGTTAGAAGGTGAACTCTCAAACTCAGTTGGGGTAGAGCAGTTGCTTGTAGTGTGCAGGTTCAGTCCTTCTTACTGGAAATGCAGAAACTGGATAACTAGAACAGTACAACACTAAAGAAAATGGTTCTCAGATCAGTGAGCAGATGAAGACATTAGAAAATCCTCTGTATAATGCATAATGTAGTGCTGATGAAACACAAACTGTGTTTCTATTAATAGGTGCTGTAACCTCAACCTACAGTAACTGCATGCTTATACTTTTCTTTCCGTGAAACATGACACCTTCATTACATTTTTAAAATAATTCTGTTCATTACATGTTTCTAGTACTTTGACAAAGTGCAGCTTTCAATGAAGTGCTTTTATGTTGTCTCAAACCTTCTAATAACATACAGTCTCAAGTTATGTAATTTTTCTTTTACATGTTTATCCCAAAAACAAACATTTAAAACAGTCTAGTCATAGTATTCAGGATGGTTTATGTACAGTTGACCCTAAAATACTGACATTTCACGTTCTGATTTATGTAGAATCAATTATTTTCTGATATAATTATACTCATTAGTCCAATAATTTCATATTCCAACATCAACATCAAATCTGCACAGCTAATGAGTGTATCTCAATGTAAGTTGGCTCAGTAAAATGATAGCCGCATGCCCCAAAATGAATCATGTCACACAACAATATTACATGTGATCTGGGATAGCTCTAGAAAACTCCTTTAAAAACAGAATAAGTTTCATTCAAATCAGTTCTTAGTTTGACTCATAATCGTTAGGATGCTAGTTGCCTCCAAGTCCAGAACAAAAACTTTTTTGCAAATCACAAACACATGTAGGAAAGAATACAAGTGATCTGAGTTAGGCCATCCTCATGGTGCATGGGATTCTGTCACCCCAGCATCCATCAGACATTCAGCCAGATGTTCACGCTGCATATTTCAAGTCTGAACAAGGATGGCTGCCACTTTAGTGAGCTGTGTGAGGGACCCTGAGCACAACATGGAGATCGGCATGATCCTGGTCGGCATAAACAGGAAGAAGAATGATCCATATGCTGCAGGTGACCTTAATGAACCTTACATTGACAGAAGGATGTAGGGTAAATGAGGATTGATTGTTCTTATCTCAATAGCAGGTTTAAAACAATCCAGTCACAATTTTTAAGAATGGTTTACATACTCAGCACACAAAAGAGAAGTTTAAAACAATCCAGCCAGTTTTATGACCAGTTTATGTACTTAGTGGGAAGTTTTACATGATCACAGTTAATAAGTACTTACTATGGACGTAAGAGGTTCTCCTTCAAGAAATGATGTCACCTTCTCCACCACAAAATTCCAGCACCACTTTTTGTCTAGAAGAGTGTATGGTGAGCAAACTGTTCCAAACTCCACCTATTAATGAAAAATAAACTTAGTATTTTACAATGAAAAACTTATTATAACAAAATTCATTAGTTTATAAATGAAAAAAACATATATTCATATCCAACAAAAGTCAAGGTAAAATGGCACATAAAATATGAGAAAAGTTATACAATTTCTTAAACAACTAGCTAGAGCAGTAGCTGCTAACCTGACCAGAAATAGCCGAAAAATAAGAAAACCAAGTATTTGTAGAACAAAAAGGTGTTTACAGTCTACCTGTAGATGTAAACAAGTTTCAAAATCTTGCAATGTTTCCTTCCATTTCACTTGGTGCTCCAAAACTCTCTTCAATATGTACACAGAGCCAGTTGTCATCACTTTAAGATATCTGGAATATTGCTAAAACATTATGATGACATTAGAAAGGATGTCATTACAGATCAATACAATTTAAAACAAGTTTTGTTACATAAGCTTTAGGAGAAAAATAACAAAATATGGCTCTTGCTTGTAATAACTAACAGTTAACTTATGTCAGTATGTCAAAATGTGATGTATCATATATAACAAAAGCCACTCTCTGTACATAACGCTCCCTTTATCAGTAACCCTTGATTCTCTGTTGGTAACATTCAAACTGGCTCAGTGGTTTGTCTCATGTGAAAGTCTCGAATTCAAATCCCAGTTGAGAGAAAGGATTTTTTCTAACTTTTTTTAATTAACTCATCACATTTAACGAAAAATCTAACAATATTAGGAAAAACCAGAATAATATGATAGTTTACATTGAATTATTTGTTAACCTTTGGTTATAAAGACTGGGTGTCACAGTGGTTATAATGCCTGACTATCATGGGGAACTTCACATTCAAATCCCAGTAAAGTCTGGATTTTCTTAACTTTTTTTTTAAAAATATTTTTTATCATATTTACAGCAAGCTCTTTGAATATTCTGAAAAATATGAACACCAGTACAGAATAAATCAGGGATCACATCATATTCCATATAAACACCAGTGTCTCTCTGTGTCAAACACAAGTTAAATATTTTTTCAATCCAACAGATGGCGCTACAATACATTATTACAGATGTTTTCAACTCGGGTAAGATATTTTTTTTAATTTAGTCAATTTTATAAGCATTTTTTATGAAAATTTCCACCTTTGTGCATTTGACCTTCACCTCAATTCTTTGCCGTTGCCATCACAATTAATAAATTGCAGGGTCAGACATTTAACCATTTAGAAATATTTCTTCAAGAACCTTTTTTTTTTTGCATGGTTGAATCTATAAGGCTTTATATCATGAAGCAGATTAGAACATAGTATAAACATATACAGAAGTCAAACTTCTAATCAAGGCCCACTTATAGAAGACAAATATTTCTATTTCTTGGTTTTGTCATGCTGTGTTATAGCCTACACAGTGCATAATTCTTCTCATGATTCATAGCATGCACATGTTTTACTGACATCACAACAGTACAAATTGCAATGTTAAGCATCCCTAACGTGACATCATTTTAGAGTCTACTGACAGACAGACAACACACTAATGTATAGTGATGCAAGTGGTTAAAACAGATGACACCTCCAGGCAACATTTGGGGAAATAATTAACATGTTACTGATACTTTCCACGAACATCAAGATATCTCACAATCTACCTAAATACATGTAGACTCACTTCATCTCTCCATAAGTCAGGCTCCTCAAGCAGCATTTCAACAAACGATACAAATCTTTCACAACACATTTCCAACTTGGTGGGTTGGAGTAGACTTGTTAATTCCATGAAATCATCTAGCTAATAAAAATACAAAAATGTTAAATGTTAGAGCTTAAAGTTAAGTTACTTTACCTGAAAGATAACCAACAAAACTAATTTCTTATAAAATGTAGAACATGTCCAGAAAGTATTAGTTGTTTATATGGGCAACTTGCTAAGTGAGTTTGTTTTTAAGGCTGTATTAGAAGTTATTGTTTTGGTAAACATGAGTTTGTTAATAAGGCTGTATTAGGAGTTACTGATATGATAAATGTGTTTGTTTTTAAGGCTGTATTAGGAATTGCTGTTATGATAAACATTAACTTAGTTTTTAAGGCTATACTTGGAGTTGTTGTTATGATAAATATTAACTTAGTTTTAAGGCTATACTTGGAGTTTTTGTTATGATAAATATTAACTTAGCTTTATGGCTGTATTAGGAATTGCTGTTATGATAAACATTACCTTAGTTTTAAGGCTGTATTAGGAATTGCTGTTATGATAAACATTAGTTTAGTTTTAAGGTTGTACTAGGAATTGCTGTTATGATAAACATTAACTTAGTTTTAAGGCTGTATTAGGAATTGCTGTTATGATAAACATTAACTTAGTTTTAAGGTTGTACTAGGAATTGCTGTTATGATAAACATTACCTTAGTTTTAAGGCTGTATTAGGAATTGCTGTTATGATAAACATTAACTTAGTTTTAAGGCTGTATTAGGAAATGCTGTTATGATAAACATTAACTTAGTTTAAGGCTGTATTTGGAGTTACTGTTATGATAAACATTAGTTTAGCTTTAAGGCTGTACTTAGAGTTACTGATATGGTAAACATGTTTGTTTTTAAGGCTGTATTAGGATGTGCACATCAATAACTCCTAACACTTCTCTACCTGCTAAGTAGACCTTTCTAACTATGCAGAAAGTTTATGAATAGATCCATAATAATATAAACCCAGTTAACATGCAATTTAACTTATGAACATATTTAATACTTAAATAAGTTTAAGGATGTACAAAGTTCCCGAGTTACAAAAAAAACTGAAACCATTTTTTCCATTTCTTTCTGTTGATCACATCATCACAGCCCATTTATAAGCAAGAAGGCATAACATGAATCATTTTAAAATCACAATGTTTAGTTTGGATCTTTCTTTACTTTTTTGATACCTTTCACCATAGTACCCAATAAAGAACCACCTCGAAGACGGTTATCCTGGTCACTCCAAACAAGTTACTTTGATAAAATTTAAGTCATTATAATTGTTGTCAATAAGAATTTCATTGGTTTATAAAAATAGATATGCTACACCTAAAGCAGTCTACAGAAACACTGGTATGTTACATCTACGGTGGCCTACAAAAACAGTAACATGTTACACCTACAGTAGTCTACAGAAACACTGGTATATTACATCTACGGTGGCCTACAAAAACAATAACATGTTACACCTATAGTAGTCTACAGAAACACTGGTATGTTACATCTACGGTGGCCTACAAAAACAATAACATGTTACACCTATAGTAGTCTACAGAAACACTGGTATGTTACATCTACGGTGGCCTACAAAAACAATAACATGTTATACCTATAGTAGTCCAGAATCCCAAACAGTCTACTAGTTCTAATCCATGGAAACATTAGAACAAACAAGACAAGAATTTAATAAGTGAGTTTTAAAAACTGACTCTAGTAATAAGCTATAATACATTCTGGAACATAAAACAGATCAAAACAAGTACAGGTAGAGTTAATACATAAAATCTCATCAGAAGTTCATTATAATATTTACACCCTAAAACAAAATACATACATATATATATGTGATAGAAAGTAACTTACTCGCTCCCTCTGAAGCAGAAATCTCATATAGAACAAATAACAGTCAATGTCAGAAATGTGGTCATAAGCTTTCACAACTTGTAAAGCATCTTCTAGAGCCGTATCTCTGTCTTGAGACAAAATGTACTGGACCAACACCTGAGTAGATTAAAAGTTTACATAAAATGTACTGGACCAACACCTGAGTAGATTGAAAGTTTACATAAAATGAACTGGACCAGCACCAGATCAGATTGAAAGTTTACATAAAATGTACTGGACTAGCACCAGAGTAGATTGAAAGTTTACATAAAATGTACTGGACCAGTAACGGAGTATATTGAAAGTTTACACAAAATGTACTGGATTAGCACCAGATCAAATTGAAAGCTTACATAAAATGTACTAGACCAGCATCTGAGTAGAATGAAAATTTACATAAAATGTACTAGACCAGCACCTGAGTAGATTGAAAGTTTACATAAAATGAACTGGACTAATACCAGATCAGATTGAAAGTTTACATAAAATGTACTGGACTAGCACCAGAGTAGATTGAAAGTTTACATAAAATGTACTGGACCAGCACCAGATCAGATTGAAAGTTTACATAAAATGTACTGGATCAGCACCAGATCAGATTGAAAGTTTACATAAAATGTACTGGAT